AAAGAATGTTTCGTCGTGTCCTGTAAAGTCACTGTTCTGGAGACACTTGTTTCTCTTTGTACGGCGATGATTCAATGCAGCACAGAAGTCTTAAATACAGCTGTGTGCAAAAGCTCATGCATTCCTGTAAACACAGAGAGAACGCACTTCTGCACATTTTCATGCACATTTACTGTTTATTAGCTGATTTTAACACTTTGGGAGAAAAAAATACAAATACGGCTTGTGTGTAAAAGTTATGGCACATTTTTGTACATATTTTATATTTATTTACTTTTCTAATATGTTAAACTTAGCAAATAAACAGAAATTGTGCATTAAAATTAGTAGAAATGCCATATTTGCGTGTGTTCTCTGTAGATGTGTTAAATTATTTTCACTATGGAAATCAACACACGATTTGACCAAGGGTGCTCATACTTTTGCATATAAACTATTTATTTTAGCAGTACATGTTTTTGCCAGTAAACAATATTAATAATTAGAACAAATACTAAAAAAAAAACAAAACAAATAATAATACAATAAACATAAAGACAGTCAAATGTAACATTTTTAAAGAAAATCTTTCTAAATTCTAAAAGAATTTAATTTTAACATTTTAAAGAAAAGTAATTTTATTTTGATTAGATAAATAAAGTTAGAACTCTGATATTTATATATGGTCAATAAATCTAACAGTTCTCATTATAACATTGTTATAAGAATATAATAAGACTATTTAACCTACTTAACCTATTTCTAGATCTATAGCTCATTTTATCTGAAGAAACTGTTATTCTATTGGCAGACAACTGCGCTCTTTTCAAGCATTTCTTCAGTAATATTTAGTAATATTATTGGTAATAATAAACAATATTATCCGCATTCTGTCTCAAAACAAGCAAAATCATCTTTACAGTCTTTTTGTCCCAGAAAAACAATCTACCCTTTACACATTTTCCATGTTTTTGTCATTTTTTCACAGTGAAGCAAAAAGAAGTGCTGGCTCGAACCTGTCAATGCAGAATGTAAACTGAATGTACGTGCAGCTCACACTGTAACTAAGTATGTAATTACGTGGGTTATAATTAAATACGATCATAAATATTTAAATCATAATTAAATAATAATGAAGAGATTAAGCGAAGGGTTAAAGAAAATAATAAGAAAGAACAGAGAAAAGGAAAAGCACATCACGCTGGCACTTCCTCTGTAAAAGTCCTTGATTGTTGAGGTGAACTCAGACAGGAGGGAAGCAGGTTGTATGAACTGAGCCAAGTTCATTCAGACGGCCATTCATTCAGACTGGAACTCAGTCAGTGAGAAAATGAATGAAGCCCCAGACTTGGCACGCAGAAATAACACCATAAACGACTTTTTAATCACAGTAATGCACACCTGAGCTGAGAGTCATTAACTGAGCAAGACTGCCCCCTGCTGGACAGCAGAGTTCAGTTTATCTTATAATAACTTTATAATTATATAGCTGTTTATTTTTCAGTGTCAGGGCAAAAAAGCTGATTTAAAAGGACTTCACACAGAAGCCTTAACAGCTGAATGTCACATTCTTTAGTGTTTAGTGTTTCCACTCTTTACCTTCATTACAGTTTCCATTCTTTTCATTTTTTCAGAGAAATCTGCAGGGATATTTTTCACACCTCCAAAGTTCAGTCTTCATGCTTCACATGATCCAAACAATCCCAACACACATTTAGACCCATTAATCTGTCAAACCTCACTCCACATCTCAGAAGTCCAGTTTCGGTTTTCTAGTGCAAATGTTCTTTTTTTTTTATCTGTCCCCTTTTCTCAGTAAGAGCTTCTTAACAGCTACACATCCTTTCAGATCTCATAGTGCTTAGTTGTCTTCTCACAGTTGGATGTCAGAACAAGGATGGACAGACGCAAATGTGGATTTTTTTCAGATACAGTAGTTCTTGAAAGTTTGTAAACCCCTTAGAATTTTCTATATTTCTGCATCAATTTGACCTAAACCAGAACATTAGTTTAATTTAAACAAGTTTAAGTTTAATAAAAACTTGCTTTAATCACAGGTTCACAAATGAGTTTTCCTTTACTATATTGTATCTGTAGGTCTCTGTTTATAAACATAAACTAGCCAAAGCGAATTTACTATAAAATGAAAGTGTTTGTATAAATTCAGAAAAAAGACACATCAGTCACAACTGCATATGTGTACATATTTCTATACTGGGGTCTATTTACACAAAGTTAGGTTAGTTCATCCTTTATGTTGAATAGACTCTCCTAAACTTTTACGCTGCTACACTGACGTTAAACCGTGTGCTGCACTGGGTCGGTATGTCCAACAGTTCAAAACAAGCTCAAAACAAAGTGCGCGCTGTGCCCTGATTGGTGCTCTTGCTTCCCGCTTCTTTCGTTTTGATGTGTTACATTTTTATACACACATAATTCAAAAGGAACAACAGATTTCTCATAATGTAGTGGAGTAAAAAGTGAGATATTTGACTTTGAAATGTAGTGGAGTGAAAGTAAAAAGTCACCCAAAATGGAAAAACTTCAGTAAAGTACAGATACAAGAAAAAACTACTTAAGTACAGAAACTAATTACATTTACTTCGTTACTGTCCACTACTGATTAAAACTAAAACTTCCAATAGTAGATAAAGATAACCAAATTAAACAAATGAGACAAATGAGATTGGTCAATTATTTATTGAGGAAAACGATCACATGGATAAACCAGAAGGCTTTTGGAACAATGTTTTGTGGATGGATAAGACCAAAATAGATCTTCTTAGTTTAAAGCTTAAAAAAGATGCGTTATGTTTGGAGAGAGGTAAACACTGCATTCCAGCATAAAAACCTTACCCTATCTGTGAAACATAGTGGTGGTAGTATCATGGTTTGGGCCTGTTTTGCTGCATCTGGGCCAGGATGGCTTGCCATCATTGATGGAACAATGAACTCAGCAAATTCTGAAGGAAAATGTCAGGAAATCTGTCCCTGAGCTGAAACTCAAGAGAATGTGGGTCAAGACAACGACCCTAAGCACACAAGTCATTCTACCAAAGAATGGTTGAAGAAGAATATAGGTAATGTTTTATAAGTCCTGACCTTAATCCTATAGAAATGCTGTGGAAGGACCTGAAGCGGCAGTTCATGGGAGGAAACCCACCAACATTACAGAGTTTAAGTTTTTTCGTGCGGAGGGGCTAAAATTCCACCAAGCCAATGTGCAGGACTAATCAACAGTTACCGGAAACATTAAGTTGCAGTTGTTGCTGCACATGAGGGTCACATCAGATACTGAAAACAAAGGTTCACATACTTTAGCCACTCACAGAGCTGTAAAATTGGATCATTTTCCTCAGTAAATAAAAGACTAAGTCTAATATTTTTGTCTCATTTGTATAATTTAGTTTTCTTTATCTACCATTAAGACTTGTGTGGAAATCTGATGAAGGTCAAATTTATGCAGAAATCTTGAAAATTCTAAAGCCAATTTTCAAGCATGACTCTATGAATCAAGAGTGGAGCTTGATTTTCTCCTCTCTCTCAAAGATGAAAGCATTAAGTGCTGTTTATCTGACGGGAACAGTTCTGGTGTCTGTCGGGTCTTCCAGGTGGCTGTTAGGAGTCACATTTTCCCTTTAGATTTGAAACATTTTTTTTAACAGTTTTGGAAAATCCTTTTTTTTCCCCCACTTCTTTTCCCTTTGACCTTCTCCTTCCTTATGCAAGTGGAATATCTTATATCTCATCTCCTCAGCAATATCTCATTGGATGCACAAAAAAAGTGAGGCAGCTAAGGGTGAATTTTGTTAAGTGTGCTTCACTTTGTGATGAAAACTTGTGCTGCTAATTCCTTCATTTCACTGCTACTGCAGTGATGGACTGACTAATGACGTGCACGATCCAGGAGTGTAACAATACACATATTTACAGGGTCAATATGATTCTGCGGTTGATATGATTTTTCATTTTTGATAAATCCTAAAAATCACAGCTCCTATAATTTAAACACTCTTGAGTAAAAACAAAAACCCCAGTCATTTCAATGAGGGTGTGTCCACAGGATAAGCCCTGCCCATTTAGCTCTGATAGGATCCACCTAGATGTCTAGTGTTGATTGTTTTCAGTGGTTTCTATGAAAGATGGTAAATGAGAGACCTTCAAAGGAGAATGTAGGATGTATTGGCCAGAGCTTTGACTTTCCTCACTGTTTTGTTGTTCTGAAAAATGGTAATATGGGTCACTTAGGCCCAATCCCATTTCATCCCTCGCCCCTACAACTTAGGCCTTACCCCTCCATTTTATGCGTTCATGTCTAGGGGTAGGGTGTCCCGATTGTTGTAGAAATAGAGGGGTAGGGCGAAGTGCTAGGGCTACATGGCCCTCCAGGTTTTTCAGAGGCAAGCAAGATGGCTGAACAAAGACCAAAGAAACCCACAAATGTGAGAATTTTCCGTTATAAAATTACAATAACTACTGTATTACCTTAGTTTAATGTCCTTTCAATGTATTTTGGTCCTTTTCTTCATAACAAGCATGAAAAAAATCACTAATAGTATGCTAACGTCTTGGTAGCTAGTTAGCTACATTTCCTGTTCCACCTTAGTCAGCAGTTCTGACGCTTGAGGCGCCAGAATGTAACTGCTGCTCCATTTAAGGTGGAATGAAAAAATTCAAACGAGAAGCTGCTGAATATCTGACTTCAGCTTCATATTCTTGAAGAATTAGGGGTGGGCGATAATAAATAATTGCACCCCCCCCCTCTTTGAAGGCATATGATGCCCTAAATGTAACTAAAGCCCAGCAGTGAGGAGCTGAACTTTACCCTCCTCTGCTGTCACTGCAGACTGGCAGGGTCGCCTACAGAGCAGCGCTGGTAGCTGTTAATGAAGTGATGCTCTTTTTATTTGAGGGTCCCATTTCATAGAGGATGATTTCAACCACTACCCCTTGTACCTCAATGCTTAAGCATTAGCGACCTTGGAGATGAATGTTCATCAATCTGAAACCACTGGACAGTTCATGGTGCTGACTTTAATGAACATATTAATGCAACTACACATATTTACATTATGTACATAATGGACAGAGGGGTGTTGGAGCATGACATGAATGAATGAATGAGTAAGATTAACAGATAAAGGTGTGTTTCTTTCTGATCAATGAACAACATGAGGGTTCAGGTACTCATTACTGCACAGCACCACCCGATTCCACCAACTTCTTTTCCTTAAAGCAATAGTTTGACAAAATACACAACCCCTTCTCCACACCCAACCCCAAATGTAGTCGGATCAGTTGAGACACATCTGGTGTCAGAAGTTTGCTTCTTTTTTTGCACACAGAAATAATCACTTCTCTAATTTTAAATGATGTTTGTTCTACATACAAACACAGTAGTTGGTTAAACTATGACACTAAACATAAAGTTAGATTATGAGACACCAAATTCAGCATCAACATGAAAAATATCACTGTTAGCTGGTTAGCATGTTGCTAACAATACCCGTTTTCATTTCATGTTTTTCCCCCACTTTGCAGCTGGAACATGTAGACTCCTTATTTCAAGTCAAAATCAACACAGCAACAGCTTCTGTTATGTGTCAGCCATATCAGCCTCGTGACTCCAGAGCAAAACTAAAGAAAACAACTCCAGATATACGAAACACGTCTTGTCTTGACTGATCAACTACATTCGGAGTGGCGGGGAGGGGGGATTGGGGATTTCCTCTAACTATTCCTTTAATGATGACGGTAACACAAATAATAAAATAAGGAGTTGTGATCTGAGAACAACAATGAGCACCAACTACAGCCACTAACACAGTCAGTAAGATACACAAACTACCCTATACGACTTCTGCAATAGCGTCTGATTAATCCCTCTGTTCACTGCTTTAAACTCATCTACGTGTCTGGATTCCACTGATTTCTTTTGGTTTTATCAGTCACATTTACGGAATTTTGTACGACCAAATTGATGGAGTTTAAAAACAGTCTTTACATTCAGATATTTGACCCAGAGTTCAGCTGACGCCACGTGGCCCCCAAAGGAAACACTAAACAGCGTAGAAGGGATAAGGTCAGAAGCCTGATGTCAGTCCTCCTCGAAGTCAGAGGGGACAGTGCATCGGGTAAAGGTGGACAGGTAGAGAGCGGTGGTTTCCACAGGAGATAAACCAGCCGACACTTTCAAGATGGTGAGGACCCTCATCGCTGTCATGGTAACGCCATCTTCTGTCTGTGCGATAAACAGATAGACAGATACACAGATAGTGTAAAAACCTCCACAGATGGGGGCAGAGCTACACTGAATTCTTTGTTGATTAGATTTCTGGTTTTTACCTCGTATTGTTTCACTTTTTCACTAGTTCTCTTCATAACTTTAATTTACATGAATTTTACATGTTTCTGTAATTGGCGTTTGGTATGGCAGTTTTTGATAGCTTGTAGTATGGTCTGGTAGTTCTTGGCATGGTTTGGTAGTTTTTGATAAGGTTTGGTAGTTTTTAGTATGGTTTGATAGTTGTTGGTATGGTTTGATAGTTCATTGTATGGTTTGGCAGTTCCTGGTATGGTTTGGTAGTTTTTGATAAGGTTTGGTAGTTTTGGGTATGGTTTGACAGTTTGTGGCACGGTTTGGTAGTTCTTGGTATTGTTTGGTAGTTTGGTCTGGAGCAGCAGGGGAAATGCTGAAATAGCTTAGAGGAGTGGCTGAAATGGGGACTTATCTGACAGTACTGATATTGTCATTAACCCTTATAAGTATAAGTTGGATTTGTTTGTTCTTGTTTTCAATAAAAGGATGTTTTTAGAGAGAAATTAGGTTTTATGGTGCTTTTTTTATGGTACAATTGCACATTGTTGTCATATGCCAACAATTTATCAAATACCCCACTTAATTTTTAGAATTTATTTTTTTCAAATATTTCCATTATTTAAGCAAATTTAAATAACAAAAACACACTGAAATATTTTTTGTCATTTTTAAGTAGTAGTTCATGCAATAGAGGGTTAAGGCTATAGAGGGTTAACGCATAACTAAGAATTTCACAAGAAATGATGCATGCGACTAATTTTTGGCTGGTGAGCTTTTAAACGCACCTTCACTCTCCATTCTCAGAACCGACTGGCCCTACAGTGGCTTATGCTTATGTCATAGGCCAGGGGTACGGACCTGAGGGCTGGAGTCTGGCACAGTTCTGTGATCTTCCTGCTCTAGCACACCAACTAAACCTGGTAATTAGCTGATGAGTCGAATCAGGTGTGCTCGAGGAGGCAAATCACCAAAATGTGCGGGAATCTCACCATCCAGGACTGGAGTTTCCCACTCCTGCTGTAGGCATACCTGGTGTTCAGCGCAGATCACAGGGCAGCGGTGAGACGCAGCCAGCCTCCTCACACTCAGCAGACGCTCCTGAGCTACAGCACCACAACGAGCTGAGTGAAAACACACAGAGAGAATCACAGATCAGTACAACTAATTATTCCCACAATTAATCAAACTAATCTTACAAGTAATGATTAAATCTGACAGAAGCTGTTTTCTTGACACGTAACGTTAAAAGAATAATGAAAAGGAACAAACAATGAAAAGAAAAAACATTAATTACCATCAGTAACCACAAAGCACAGCTTTCCCAGGAAGTAGTCTGAGCCTAAATGACTCACAGAATTCTCCGCTGCTTGAAGACTAGAGACAGAAGGGAATATCAGCAAAGGCATAAAAATGGTAAAAGGGTACACGTCCTACATTTTTAATGTATTTATATTTTTTCTGAAACCAGAGGTTTGTGTGGGTTTATGTACCAAAAACAGACAGAATTTACTTTTACATTACCTCTCCCCATCCCTGGTTTTATCCTGGGATTCTATAGCAACGGCTTAGCAACGCCCTAGCAACCACCTGGGATTCCATAGCAATGGTCTACGAACACCTTAGCAACCACCTGGGATTCCATAGCAATGGCCTACGAACACCTTAGCAACCACCTGGGATTCCATAGCAATGGCCTACAAACACCTTAGCAACCACCTGGGATTCCATAGCAATGGCCTACGAACACCTTAGCAACAACCTGGAATTCCACAGCAATGGCCTATGAACACCCTAGTAACCACCTGGGATTCCATAGCAATGGCTTATGAACGCCTTAGCAACCACCTGGGATTCCATAGCAATGGCTTATGAACGCCTTAGCAACGCCGTGGGATTCCATAGCAACGGCTTAGCAACACCTTATCAACCACCTGGAATTCCATAGCAATGGCCAATGAACACCTTAGCAACCTTCATAGCAACAGCTTTGTCAAGCCAACTTAAAGCTCCCTCACAATCTTTTCTTGTCTAATTAATTCATGTTGTGGGTCATATTAAGCCTGATTTATCATAATATTTCAAGACAAAGTTCTTTTCTCATCAAAATCATTTCTTCCCTCAAAATGCAAGAGTTTTGTCCACCTCTAAAACATCTTTTGAGTATTGATTACATCACCGTGCACTAGCGGGTGACCAATGATATGAGAGACCCCTTCTCAGACCGCATTTCACTCACAAATGTCATGCGGAATTAAAATAAGTCATGATTTCACATTCCCGCCAATTTTAAGACTGACACATGTAAATGACCTCTGATTGGCTTCCTTGGATCTTGCCTCATTCAAAAGGCAGATCTGAATGGGTGGAGCTCAACTGCCGTTCGCCGCGTATGTGAACATATGTTAATGTCTTGGTTTTCATGGCATCATAAAAACAATTAATTCTCAACAGGCAGTTTTGGCAGAAATTTTGGTTTCACATGAAATAAGCCTTTTAACTACTGTCCATCTCACAACATGGAAGGAATGGTTTCCAGACTGGACCGTAAGGCGGCTCACCTGCGCTCAGACAGCAGGTTGACTATGAACACCACCAGGTCAATACGAGGGCGAGTCTCACTGTTTTCCACAGGGAGAGGGAGCTTTCGAGCCAGCCGCCTGGAAGAAAGCACAATACAAAAATCATGAAGCAACAGCCTGATGCCCCTCAACAAAGATAGATGTTCTTGCTTGAACATGTTGGGCAAAAGTGATAAACTAAAGTAAAAACTTGGATAGAAACAGAATCAATCAGCACCCAGAATTTGGGTGAATGAGGCTAAAACCACAATGAACCAGAAACATCCAAAGTAACATGAATTAAATCAAGCCTGATTGTAGGGATGCATCGATACTGATATTGGTATCGGGTATCAGGTGGCACTGTGCTCATCCACTCATAAAAATCAGGAGGCTCTGTTCACACAGAGCAGAATCAATGACTGTCACTGTCGGACACAAAGCCGTGGGTCCCTTTAAACATTTCGCCTTAGAAGATTTCCGCCAGACCTGCACTGTGATTTTAGCCTGTTTCAAACACACAATCACAACCGCTTCCCCGTTATGGGTGGAGACACGAAGGCCAGCGAAACGGAGGTGGAAGAAAGTCGATATTTGCTACCAAAGTCCATCTATGCTGACTTTACTCTGTTCGACTGAACAGAATTACCATATATAAATGTCAATACAGTGTTTTTACCATGTAATATCACCGCCTGGTTTTAGCTTCAGTGCTTAGCGTTAGCCGTGCTGCTCAGTACTCGGTGCGCAGCACGTTATTTTAAATTGAAATGCTTTATTTGAAACTGTCTGCAGAGGCTGCATTTCACGTAGCATGGATAGAGCATTTTCATACAGAGTGAGTGTATAAATCGTAGTCTTTGTATGTATATAATGGTCTGTTTAAACGCACAGACTCACCATAAAACAATATTTCTACAATCACAGTGTTTGTCTGGCTTTAGTGGAAATTCAGCTACAGCTCAACCAGCCAAGACTCCGAGAAGACGTTAAACTTCACAGGTGAGCTCCTCGGACGTGATTCCTGCTGTCACTGAACTACAGAGACTGATGTTCAAACATACAGCTGTACGTACAGAAGTGCTTTTCTGACAGGGAACTAAACCCACTCTTCTCCACTGCAGCGCTACTCAATCCAAGGTAGCATTAAGCAATACAGCACAGCTTGCTAATGGGCTTGATTTTATCCTAAGTAGGTTACTCAGTGGGGCATCGGACTCGGTATCAGTGATTACTAAACAAAATGAACTCATACTCGGTCTTAAGAAAACAGTATTGATGCATCCCTACCTGATCTTGTACGTTTAAAAAAAAACAAGCAAACAAAAAAAAAGCCTTACACATTCACGTTGATGTCCTTTTCCCGCTGCACTATGGCATCGGCCAGCCTGGACTGAAACTGCTCCTCATTTTCAACCAGCTGTCATTAAAGGAAACAGTAAACAGTGTTTGGTCAATCAGTCAAAGGCAACGACAGCATGTAAGATCTATCATGGACAGTTATATTCAAAATATTCACAGCAACAGCGAGCAGGAAGAAACTGAACTGCAGTCAACCTGGGGACGGGCAAATGAGACGATATTTAGTGCTAAATTCTGACATATATATCAGATATCTTGGATATCGTCAGTAATTAAAGAGCAACTGCATGTCTCATTACAAAGAGAGCAGAATCAGCCACATTTGACTGGGTTTGTAGGTGCATCACTAAATAAAAATCATTGCATTCAGTTTGTTTGAGGCTCTACTGGTGGTTCTTTGTCTGTTCCAACCCATCAAACCTCAGAAAAACGAAATACCGTGATGTGTACTGAGAAAATACCTGTATCGTGATATATTTTTGCCATATTGCCCACCCCTAACAACTCCTAACAACCCCAGTGTTAGTTAGGTTTCTATTGATACTATCACTTCTGAATTACAGATGTAAAGCAGAGGTGGGCGATACGCCGAAACGTAATATGATGATACTTCACGAGGTTTTTTTTTACAATACACAGTTTTTTTCCTGACGTCTCGTAAGTCAGAACAGACAAAGTAAGCCCACATTTTAAAAATACCATCACAAACTATACATTCATTTACTTCATTCAACAATTCACATACAGTGCTGCACTGAATCCAACTGAACAGGACTAATTATGCTCTCTGTGCAGTTGGAAAGTGGTTTTTAAGTGTTGACGATGTCCACAATATGTTCAGAAAGGTATTGTGATGTAATTTGTCACAATAACAATAAATATTGCCATATTGCTCAGCCTTAGTTTAAAGTGTTCAGAGTGGGACAATTGATCAAATGTTGTTTTCAATAACCATTCTGGCTTCCAACGACTATGAAAACAAGATATTGGAGATAAAACGATACTGTGCCGCAGTGCATTTCACAATGATGCTCTCATTTTGTCTTGCGTTATAAATCCAGAGCACTCCTCTTTCATTTAGAGCGAAGTGCTTTGCTTCTCCTAAAAGGCCAAACTCATCCAATTTTTTTTGGTCTAATTTATTTTTATTTAATATTTTTATATATGTCATAATGACCATGGTTGATCTTATTTATTTTTATTTATAATGTTTATATTATTAATGTAATGTACATATAACACATTATATGGAGTACTGTATATATATATATATATTATTTATTTCATTTAGGTATCTTTTTATATTTAAAGTTCAAGCAAATCCACTGTTAAAAAGAGTATTTTTTCCAAGTTTAGTAAATGCATGTTGTTTCCAAAGTCGATGAGTAATTGTGTTAAATAATCGTGCTCTCAATGCTGACCAAATTAATCGCGATTATGATTTTTAGCATAATCTAGCCGCTCTATTTCAGATTTTTCTGTGACAAACCTGGTTTCCTTACAACTAAAAGAGACTTGTGAAAATACTTTCAAGGCTTTTACTAACAGAACTTAAACCTAAATCGACCGTCTGAACCGCGTCACTGTGAACACTGTGAACACAGTAAACACTGTGAACACTGAACATAGTAAACACTGAACATAGTAAACACTGAACATAGTGAACACTGTGAAACACTGAGAAACACTGAGAAACACTGAGAAACACTGTAACACTGTAAACACTAAACACTGTGAACACAGTGAACACAGTAAACACTGTGGACATAGTAAACACTGAACACAGTGAACACTGTGAAACACTGTGAACACAGTAAACACTGTGAACACAGTAAACACTGAACACTGTGAATACTATACACTTTGAACACAGTAAACACAGTGAACACTGAACACTGTGAAAACAGTGAACACTGTGAAAACACTGAACACTGTGAATACTATACACTTTGAACACAGTAAACACTGTGAAAACAGTGAACACTGTGAACAGTGAACACTGTGAATACTAAACACTGTGAACACAGTAAACACTGTGAACACAGTAAACACTGTGAACACAGTAAACACTGAACACTGTGAATACTATACACTTTGAACACAGTAAACACAGTGAACACTGAACACTGTGAAAACAGTGAACACTGTGAAAACACTGAACACTGTGAATACTATACACTTTGAACACAGTAAACACTGTGAAAACAGTGAACACTGTGAACAGTGAACACTGTGAATACTAAACACTGTGAACACAGTAAACACTGTGAACACAGTAAACACTGAACACTGTGAATACTATACACTTTGAACACAGTAAACACAGTGAACACTGAACACTGTGAAAACAGTGAACACTGTGAAAACAGTGAACACTGTGAATACTAAACACTGAACACAGTAAACACAGTGAACACAGTGAACACTAAACACTGTAAACACTGTGAACACTGAACACAGTAAACACAGTGAACACAGTAAACACAGTGAACACTGTGAAACACTGAAACACTGTGGACATAGTAAACACTGGACACAGCAAACACTGAACACTGTGGACATAGTAAACACTGTGCACACTAAACACTGTAAACACGGTGAACACTGTAAACACAGTGAACACAGTAAACACAGTGAACACTGAACACAGTAAAACACTGTAAACACAGTGAACACAACACAGTGAACACTGTAAACACTATGAACACAGTAAACACAGTGAACACATTGAACACTGTAAACACAGTGAACACTAAACACACTAAACACAGTGAACACTGTAAACACAGTGAACACTAAACACACTAAACACAGTGAACACTGTAAACACTGTAAACACAGTGAACACTGTGAACACTAAACACAGTGAACACAGTAAACACTGTGAACACAGTGAAAACTAAACACAGTAAACACAGTGAACACTGTGAACACAGTTAGCTCAGCATTAGCTCAGCCCTAACTGGCCCAAACTCAGACAGACCCCAGCGCCGTCAGCGCTACTCACCAGGACGGTGGCCGTGTTGAGTTCGGGTGTTTTGCTGTACGGGCTCAGAAGCGCCATTTCACGGTGAATAAAGTGAGATTTAACCACTGTAACTCATTTCCGCTCCGCTCCGCGCGGGTCGGCGAGTTCCTACCGCTTCTTTTCAAACGCGCTGACGTCACCACTTCGGCGCCGGCGCAGCGCGGTGCTGCCGCCTGAAGGCTCCACGGGGTAATTACTGCACTGCTACCTAAAAACACACCGTCCAGCTGTTCTTAGCTTTAAGAGGAGCCGAGCGGTGTTTATGTCTCTAAATACTGATGATTACCGAGCCCTGCTTATAACAGCCCTGCTAAATATAAAAGTGTGGCTCTGACTAACGCTGCGTTGACATGTTTGCGTTTAAAAAAGGTCATTCTGCGTCTTACTGCCTTAACTATCTCAGTCCCACACCTTACTAAGTCATGGGTAGGACTTAACTATCTCAGTCCCACACCTTACTAAGTCATGGGTAGGACTTAACTATCTCAGTCTCACGCCTTACTGAGTCATGGCCAGGACTTAACTATCTCATTCCCACACCTTACTAAGTCACGGCTAGGACTTATCTCATTCCCACACCTTACCATGTCAAAGCTAGGACTTAACTATCTCATTCCCACACCTTAGTAAGACGTGGCCATGGCTTAACTACTCATTCCCACAGCTTACTAAGTCGTGGCCATGAATTAATCATCCAATTCCCACACTTTACAAAGTCGTGGCCAGGACTTAATTATCTTTTTCCCACACCTTACTAAGTCATGACATGGAATTTGTGGTTGTCGAGGGTAAACAAACATACCATACTCATACAAATTCTATTTTATCGAGCAGAGCGGCTCATTTGACTACCTTTTCCCATGTGTTACTAACGTGTGGCCAGGACTTAACTATCTTACTCCCACTCCTAACTAATTTGTGGCCAGGACTTTTTTGTCAGTTGTCATGAAAGGCTTATGTAAGTGTCATGTAGCCTTATGAACAATGCCCTACAGTAACGTGTTACTGTAAAATTCAGATCGTACTGTGAGTGAAAAACCACACACGAACATGTTTTGAATCTGTAAAAAACTATATTGTTTTTTTGAAGCTGTTCACATTTATTAAAAAGATCCTATTCGAATTCAGATATAAAAATAGATCAGATTCAGGGTACGAGTGTGAACACCACCTTGGCTTTGAGACTGCATCCAAACTAACACATTTTCGAAATAATAAAGGGAAAGAAAAAAAAAGAATCACACCCATCATTCTTTTTAACATGGACTTTTCAGACTGGTTTATTAAATTTTATAGTATTTGACAGGAAGGATCAGATTTCTTCAGATGAGAACCTGCTAACACAGCAAATTAAAAGGAAAAGAAAAAAGAAGTTTTGAAAAGTTCTGCACACGTTAACAAGAAGAGAAATAGTTGGCTTGCGATGTAACCAAATGTACAAATATGCCTGGAAGGAAGTGGCGTCGTCTCTTTTGCATTCACAGTAAATCGCTGCTCGAGTCTTTTGTGTACATAGCAATGAATTCATAAACTCAAGTTTTTCAGCTTTCAAACTAAACCATACTGGATGTGTACTATGAAACCGGAACCACACAGTTAACGAGCGAACAGAAAGGGAAATTATATCCACATTTATCAACAGCATCACTCATTACATGAGAGTGATGACTGCCTAGTTCCTGACTGGTTTGTACTCATTTTGTCTTATTTTAAGAGTAAATTAGGCCAAAAAATGTTCTGCCCTCTACATGTTTATTCTATTAGCAATGCTTTTCAAGGGGAATTCCACCAACTTTCCAAAATTTAAGATTAAATGATTAAGATGTAAACAAATTTGGTGTGAAATGCTCTGTTCTAGAGTCAGAATTGGTTACAATGGTGGTGATAGGAACCAGACGTCTGAAGAGTTTAATGCTCCTTCACAGAACATTATTACATGAAATGGTTATGAATGCACTGCCTGAGGTCAGACACTGTTTTATGACAGTTCTACAATAAACCTCCAACCTAATCTGTGTTTTTAAAATACCTTCATGGTGGAGGGATACATGAAGGGCACTGTAAGACAAAATAGTCCCAAAGGAAAACTTATTTTTTCACATTTATCACTATTTTATCATCATCAACATTACATATAAACACTCAGAAGACCTGTGTAGGTTCACTGGTGGATTTGGATAGTAAATAAAATCACTATATCTGTGTTGTAGACATCATGACTCCTGGTTCCTATCACCACCACTGTAAAGAAATCTGTAAGTTTCTCTACAGTGAACCATTTCACACCAAACCACTCTTTACTTTACATCCCAACAACTCAATATCAAATTTTATAATATTGGTGGAATTGCCCTTTACCGTCACCCAGCGAACTATTCCTTTAAGGAGGCACTCACAATTAAGGTGACACCTAAAAATAAGAGGCTCCTCCTTATAAACGAACCGGTCAGCTCGCTAACCAATGAACCCGGCCTCAGAGTAGCTGCATAAACATCATCAACAGTGATGATCAATAGTCAATGTTCAATAACAATAACAAAAAGGAGAAAAAAAAAAATCCACCACTGGGTTGTTTTGAAAGAAAATACACAGCTTCGGTGGTAGCTCCGCCTCTCTCAAGATGCTTTATTCCTCTAGTAACTCGCTGTAACTTGAAGTGAAACGGGATGGACATGTCCGACTCCTTTGGTTGGCTTCCTCCGTTTCAAGATGCTCGAGAACTGCCGCTTTGAGGCGCCCACTGTTTCACCGACTGTTCCTATCTTAACCTCTCATTCACACGCACTTCAACTTTTGACTAGCTTCCTTTCCATATTCAACATGCGTCCACTGATTTATGACTCGCCAGATGGGCAAAATGTTAAAGGAGCAGTTATTATCATGATAATTGTATGATAATTGAATTGAAATTCCACAATTCTCCCCACCAAGCAAAAGTCGTCTGACCAGGACAAGTTTGGTGTCTGAAGTTTGCTTCCTTAGTGGTAATGAGGGTGATGAAACAGGTCACCCAAAAAGACTGACACTCATTACTCGTTAGCTACATTAGCCTCACAGCTCCAGAAGCAAACTTGAGACAACATGTCCTGGCCAAATGACCACATTTGGGGTAAGGGTAAAAAAATATATATATATATTGTTGGTGAACCACTTCTTTAAATACTCAGTCCTGTCCCAATGCCTAACACCTTAACTGACCCGTGGTGACAAAACTTCAACATGGTAATGTTATAGAAAAAGTAAAAATGTCCTTTACTGTAATGTACTTTAAAGAAATGGTAATTTTGGACCATTCGAATGATGTAAACGACAAAAACAAAACAGATTTGGATGGGACCGCAATGATATGTTTACTACATCTGACCAGTTTTGGCAGGCTAAAGGAAACAAGGGTCTGGATTAGAAAGGACTCTGTTGAGGTATGTATTTTTTTTTTTTAACTAGATCACTAAGAGAATATGGTCCAAGCTTACACTGAAAACCTCAGATTGGATGGGATCTTCTTTCACTGTAAACATTAGAACTGTAGATATGTGAAGGCAGAATAATCAGATCTATCTGCCAGGAATGGACCAGTTTCTCCAACACAGATTAGGCCTAAGTCTGGATTTTCAATTGTGAATCGCTACAGGCAATGGAATTTAGTCTATGACTCAACTTAATAAACTTCAACTGGAGATACAAATAATCAAATTGAGAAACATTAGATTTATCTGTCGAACTGTGGGCCAGTTTCCTGGAGCCTCATTAGGCCTAAACATAGACTGTAAAAAAAATTCAACGTCAAATCACCCTCCGCATTGCAATTCAGTCTAAACCTAAACTTCCTCCATGTTTTAGAAACTGGCAGTGTATGTGGTAAAATTCAAAGAAATCAGACGTATCTGTCAGTCCGAAACCTACAGGACAGCTTTCCCTGAGCCAGACTAATCTTTAGCCTCAGCTTTAAACGTGCTTGGTGGCGAAACACCATTGCAAATGAGTCTAAAACTAGACTTAACAGACTTCATACTGGCTGAGAACATTCAATTCATTTGATTCATCCAATCTATGGACAACAAACGCATTCTTTTGTAGCAACTGTTGCTAGGTTAAGGCCTTTACACAATGATCACGCCAATGTCAAATTAATTTGGACACGTATAACTGATCATATGTACACCTATCAATATTTTCTGGACGTTCAAAACAGTGGTATTTTCTTCACCCACTATCGCAATTTTTGTTAAATATCACAGGCGACATGAGCTCACTTCACCAATCACTGTCATCTCTGATGCCAGCATGACACCAATCACGATGATGGACCAGCTGTGTCCCAGCAACCAGTACTTTCTGACAAACATTAAAAGGTTTAGTTTATCTTCTGCTTCGTGATACGTGGAGCTGGATATCCGAAAAGCAGCTCAAACTGAGTTACAGAGACCCAAGAAATCTGAGCTCATGAACTTCAGCTCCTGAATGAAGCTGCGAAATGGAAAGGAGACCAATGTCAACCTTTCCTATTTTGTCACTGGAAAACATTCTGCCTGTTCGTTTGGGTTTTTCTGCAAAAAAAAAAAAAAAAGGAGAACCGAATGAACAAATTTAAAAAAAGGGTCAATTTTGATGTGAAAAATGGTGTCAGAATGTCACACTGGGTGTGTTTACATGCACTCAATAATCCAATCACAATCAGATTTCTGCCGTGATCTGAATATTCAAGTGGTCGTGAAAACACCAAACTCCGATCTAGTAATCTAAAAGAAATCTGATATAGAGAGCTGGATTTTAGCTCAGTAATCAGATCCCTCAGTGCATGTAAACTCTTGCTCTGATTTCTTTCAGATTTCTCAGTCTGTGCATGTATGAAAACAGACCAGAAATAAGTGAGCAGCGTTTCCACCAGATGGCAGCAAAACACTTTTGGAGCAACGCTGAAAACAACTATATGCTCGATAAAATTAAGGATATATTCTTTATGTTCTAGATGATGTACGTTCATATTTTCAGGTAAAGTGACACAATGTAAAAGCCGCAGCATCAAGTTTGAGTTTTACATTACGTTTACGTCACGTCTTCCTCTGTGAGTTTATTGGCTGGTTGCAAAGCAGAAATTTGATTACTGTCTGACTCATGTAGACCTGAAGTTTTCCCCATTATCTGATTACTCAAGTGCATGTTGGTCGGATTACTGACAAAATCTGATTTTCTGCAGTTATCAGATTATTACGTGCATGTAAACGCACCCACTGTTGTGTCTTTATGCAGCGACACAAAAACGTGCGCCACAGTTTCTCACGAGGTTGAATGGGAATTTCTCAACGTTCTGGAAAGCTTGTCCAACCTGGGAACAGTTGCTACGAAAGAATGCATTTGTGGGCGGAGCCTGGACAGGACCGGCATACACTGTTAATTGGCAGTTGATGCTGTTTTGTTGGTTCAGCCCATCCAGAGACTGACAGATCAGCTAAATACACAGAAACGAAGAACACGGGCAGGAAGCCATTTAAAAGTATAACTCTCTCTCACTCTCTCTCACTCTTTTTCTATCTATTCTATATCTCTCCCGACTCTCTCTCCTCAGAGCTGGAGCGATTCTCTCTCTCCAGCGAGACGGATCTCTCTATTCCCCTCAGTCTGTCCCGTCTCCGGGGACGAAGGGGGCGACCGCTCTCTCTGGCCCAGCTCTCTCTCCACATCCCTTCGTCCATCGTCTCTCCATCTGTCCTCTCCTGGATACTCCCTCCATCGCTCCTGCGACACAGAGTGCTCCTGTTCTCTGGTGTGTGAGGACCTGAGAGAGAGAGAGAGAGAGAGAGAGAGAGAGAGAGAGAGAGAGAGAGAGAGAGAGAGAGACATAAGAGAGAGAGACAAATGAGACAAATGAAATAAAAGAGAGAGAAGAAAAAAAAAGGAACAGTTCAAAAAAGAAAAGCAAAAACAAAGAGAGAGGACAGAGAGAGACAGAGGGAAAAAAAAAAGAGAAAGAGAACAGAGAGGGAACCATTTTTAACAAAGTAAATCTGAAATATTTTATTGGGCAAAACAGGCAAAACAAAACTGAACAATATATAAACCTGTGTTAACAGTGGTTTTTAACACTAGCCCAGTTAATCATGCAAAAACGGTGCTAATTATTGTTTCACATCTTAAGTTCTACAAAGCTGGAGTTGTCTGCTTATTTTTTATTATTATTTTGTTCAAGCTTTCATAGTGCAGCAGCACATTCTGGGACCTGTATGGGCACCTAAATGTAACTGCTGCAGTTAAGGTGGCATGGAAAAGTAGAAAAAGAAGCCAACTTCAGCTTCATCTAGTTTCTGAAGTCATCTGTCTCATAAGTACATTCTATACAGTCACCCCTCAGGCCATCAGACACTGCTGGAATTTGGAAAATATCGCAGTAATTTACGCCTCAGTACCAGCAAAGAGGTGACTGAGGGTCTTCTGTGTTTCATTTACATTTGAAATGTGACGAAACATCCACAACTCATACCGATGACCAAACACATACCTGAAGAAGAATTTCGACCGGTACGTCACTACATAGTGATATAAAACATTTCCCTGTTGGGGCTCACAGATAATATTTGTTTCATAATAGTAAGTCAGGTAAAGGTCCTGTTTATGAACTGATCTGGACGAAGTGAGGTTGAGTGTAACTGTTTGTGCTTTAAGAACAGAGAGAGGACGCGTGAACTGTCTGTGTGGTTGAACTGCACCTTTTCTTCTTCCTCCTGTGCGAGTGCGAACGAGAGCGGTGTCGGTCTTTGTGTCTGTGTTTCCTCTCTCTCTCTCTGTCCCGAGAACGAGACGAGCGGTGCCGCCGAGAGCGATGAGAGGAGCTCCCTCCGTCCCTGTGAGAGAGAGAGAGAGAGAGAGAGAGAGAGAGAGAGAGAGAGAGAGAGAGAGAGAGAAAAGAAAAGATTAGGCTAATTAACAGAAATACACTAGACAAATATAATGAAGTATATGGCAGCGATGCTTTACTGCAGACTCCAGGCATCAGAGCCAGTTGTCAGTCGCACTCACCTGTATCTGTCCCCACTTCTAGATCTCGACCTGAGTGACAGAGAAAGAGATGCAATAAAAACACTGACTACTGCACTGGTGGCCTCGATAAGACTTGTGTCTTATATAAGGCTGTGTCTGTCAGGACTCCCTATTCCCTACGCTGTACGCTATTTTGGGCTGCAGTGAACTGTTTTGGGCTACATCCGAAACTTTTCCGTGTTCGAATTTTTTCTGTTTGCCGTGTAGTGCACCACTTCGGGCCGTTTCCAAAAGTATTCCCTGTTCACTGGGTAGTGCGCTACTTTGGGCCATGTCCAAAACTACCCCCTGTTTGCTGTGTGTGCACTATTTTGGGCTGTGTCCAAAACTATTCCCTATTCACTGCATAGTGCGCTATTTCGGGCCATGTCCAAAACGATTCCCTGTTTGCTGTGTGTGCACTATTTTGGGCCGTGTCCAAAACGATTCCCTGTTTGCTGTGTGTGCACTATTTTGGGCCGTGTCCAAAACTATTCCCTATTCACTGTGCAGCGCACTATTTCAGGCCATGTCCAAAACTATTCCCTGTTCGCTATGTGTGCACTATTTCAGGCCGTGTCCAAAACTATTCCCTATTCACTGTGAAATGCGGTACTTCAGGCCATGTCTAACACTATTCCCTTTTCACTATGTAGTGCACCAAGATAACAAACAGTGCATAGTTTTGGACAGAATTAAAACCAAGAGAATCTATCCACCGAAAGGGTCCCAACCTCGAAGCACGAACTTAATAAAAACAACCTAATAACAATAAATTGTTCCTGTTTGTAAATAATTCTGTAGTCAACAACACTTCTGTAATATGTTATTATTAATATATAATTTACATACAAATTATATTATTACTAATTACATATTATAGAAACACCTTTATACTAATATTAATATGTAAACTTAATATGTAGTCAATAATTCTGTGAGTAGTTCTGAATGTTTCAGGTGGTGAAGACAAACTCACAGGGGACAGTAACTCACCTTCGGCGGTCTCTCTCTCTTTCCCTTTCCCTCTCTCGCTCTCGCTCTCTTTCTCTCTCCCGTTCACGTTCCCTCTCTCTCTCCACCTCCCACTCCCTCTCTCGCTCCGCTCTCTCCTCTCGGTCCCTCTCCTCCCTTCGCCTCATCCTCATTCGCTCCTGCTTCTCTGTCACTGCTTTCTGAGAGAGAGAGAGACAGAGAGAGAGAGAAGGAAAGCAAGATGATGCAAAGAGAGGAAGGAGAGAGGAAAAAAAAAATCACAAAGAAAAAAAGAGAATGAAAGAGAGAGAGAGAGAGAGAAGAAAAAGAAAAAAGTGAGGTTGAGAAAAAAGATAAAAAGAAAAAAAAATTAAAAAGAAAGAAAGAAAGAGAGAAAAGATACGGATAAAGAGAGACAGAGTGAGGGGAAGACAGAAACCAAGAACAGAGAGAAAAAAACGGAGGCGACAGAAATGGAGAGGGAGAGAGAAATGGCAGCAAGTGAAAAAGAAAAATTAGAGAGAGAGGATGAAGAGAGACAAAAAGATAAAGAAAACAGACAGTCAGTTGACAAGTTTAGCAAATACAGCAGACAGTAACTTCAACTACATCTTCAAATGGTAAATTTACAGGAAAAGAATAAAAAAACCCTTAATATTTTAAGAAACTCCGTATAGAAAGTCGGCTTTTTAAAATTTCTTTCGGTCTGCGTTTCACCGAATATTCACAAAATGTGCAAAGCAGCTGGACTGGGCTGCACCAGGTTTGCGTAGGTTTATAGTTAAGTTTGTGCGTAAAGTCTTCACTGAGTCCTTAGTTACACTAGTTAGTTTCAAACTATCCTGTTACTAAATTTGGTTGCACCACAAATCCGCAAGTCATGACTTAACTACTAACAACTAACTAATGCGTTCGTCTCTTTAATACGATGAAAACATGTTCGGAACCTGCTGCCATGGAAACGCAGCAGCAGCTGCTCTGACTTTTTCAATGGAAACACATATCATAGAAGAGAACGATGTGTACAAGTTAAACTGAATAAAACTAATTATCTACAGTCACTGCCTGATTATTCTTTAATATTTTCCCGAGAAAACCGAATATGCAGCTTTTTAAAAGCCGGTTTCTCACTGACCGACACAGCGGCAGCCTCAGTTTAGCCGTTTGGGCAGCTGCTGAGTCTCTGAGCTGGAGTGTTGGTGTGGTGTTTAGCTCCAGGCTCGGGCGACGATTTGAGCTGTAAGTAAAGTCACAGCGTATAGGGTTTAGAATTTTTAGCTTAGTTAACCAAAAAAGTTGTGTTCTTAGTCTTTATTGTGCTTTCTACATGTTTTTTGATGGTTTCCTCAACACTTACACCTGCTCAGGAGGGAGGTGTGAATATTTAGTAGCTACTAAGCTCAATATTAAAACTAGTTTGTGGTGCGAACCGTTCTGATTTAGTAAGGATAAACCTGAGCTTAGTAAACACTCATGTTACAACTAGTCTACGTTTGAACTTACGCACAGCTGGTGCAACCGGCCACTGGCGTTTTCCCATGGCATACAACCAAATAAATAAAAACAAATTTAAATTAATAAATAAAACCAAAACCCTTGTAATAAAGTTTGAGTGAGCAGTAAAAGTGAAAAACGGTGAAATATGTTTGGCAGATGCTCAGACCTCCATGATTTCTAACAGCACTGATACAGAACCACAGTCAGGAACGTTCCACCCAGTTTGTGAAAGCACATTTTGGTCCTCACCCTCAGTTTCTCCAGCTTCTCCCGGATCTCGATGAAGCCCAGATGCAGTTTCCCACCAAAGTGGTCGGCGAGGCGACGGTCGTTGTCGTGGAGACCGAGATAGGCGGAGCAGACCTCACACACCCTCAGCTTCTGCTGCTGGAAACTGGAGGCCGGCATGGAGTTCCTATATATGTCCTACACACAAAGACACTGACTCTCAGCCTGACGATCATTCCTGTTATTCTGGTACAGCGACCCCTAAACAGTATCTGGACATCTGTGGCATAATTAGTGTATTAAGTTAATTGTGTTAGGCTGGCTTTACATGGTGAAACCTTTATGCAACTTCAGTTGCTTGAAACATACATGAAACTTAATTGCACTTGGGTTGCATAATGTGAAGCGTCCTACAACTCATTTGCAAATCAGCTGCAAGTGTCTCAAATTCATGAATCGCATCGTGTGTTGGCGTCAAACCATATACTTTCAAACAGGTCAGTGAACAAACATCTGTTTTATTTGGTTTTATTTATTCTATTACTTTTCAATGTAAGCTAATGTAAAGAGATTTTATTCCAAGTGATTTTACAACATTTTTATTGGTCCATTCATCATGAAATATTCACACAATGTAAAGGGCAGCTGGTGTGTGTATGTGTGTATACATGTGTGTGTGTGTGTATGTATATATATATATATATACACACACACACACACACACATACACATACATAATATATATCTATATATATATATAATATATATATCTATATATATATATATATTGCTGTTTTCAGAACAAAACAGTAAAATTCGTAAGTTTACAGGAGAAGGAAAAAACATACTTTACTTTTAATGTAGGTCAATGGAACCAGACTTTTTACCAACTAATTTTGAGCCATTTCTTTTGATTTAAAGCTTATAAAAATGTTACAAATATGTAAATTACACCTTGTGGATGACTTTATAGTGAGACCGATATGGTGTATAAAAAAAAACCGAGCTGCTAAATTAGCTAACCAGTGAAGTAACTGAATTTGTTGCAACTTTGATTGTTTTTTAAACTGCTTTGTGTAATTGACAAGTTATACGGAACTCATGTTGCATGAAAGTTTCACCATGTAAAGCCAGCTTTAGAAAACCAAATTCCAAACCAAGTGGCATTTATTTCAATCAGATTGTTTCAAGACTGTCATTTTTAGTTTAGTTTGTATTCTTTCAAAATGCAGCAGGTTTGTTTCAGTTTGTTATTTCTTTACAGACTCTGACAGGTTTGCATCCAAAATGTCTTTGTATCCTTTTAAGTTCATGATCCCATCAGGGAACACAAGGCAAGTTCCACTGATGATCATTTGACAGTCTATATACAGTCGTACAGTTTATTTATTTAACATATCAGAAAAACATAAAAAATAAAGTGTGCCGTCACTTTTGCACAGGCCACATTTTCTATTTTATTTTTTCCCAGGATGTTCAATTCAGACAAACAGTAACTGCATTTAAATGTGCAGAAGTGTGTTCTCTGTGGAGGACGAGTGAACACTGCACTGACCTCAGCCTCTTTTTTGAGGGCTCGTGTTTTCTCCACTTTCTCCAGGAGCTGCTGAGCTTCCTCCACGTTTCCCTCTCCGCCCAGCTGCTCCGCTCGAGCCAGCAGCTTTCCTATCTCCTCGTTCAGCTCGTGAACCCGCTCCGCCTGCAACAAGGACACTGGATTAATATAAAAGCACAACCAATCACGCTCTAACTGTAAACTTTAACTCTAAAATACATGCCTTATTGAAAAATACATTTTGAATTTGACACCAACAACACATTCCAAAAAAGTTGGGATGGGAGCAACAAACGGCTGCTAAAGTTTTGTAATGCTTAAAAAATGAATAAATAAATAAACACCAGGTGGTTGATTGACAACAGGTCAGTAACATGATTGTGTACAAAAGAGCATCTCAGAGAGGCTGAGTCTTTCAGAAGTAAAGATGAGGAGCGGTTCACCACTCTGTGAAAGACTGCACCATCAAATAGTGCAACAATTTAAGAATAACGTTTCTCAATGTAAAATAGCAAAGAACCTTTGCTTTTCATCAACTACGGTACATAATATCATTAACAGATTCAGAGAATCTGGAGAAACATTTGTATGCAATGAACAAGGCCAAAGGTGATCTCTGGGCCCTCAGGTGGGACTGCATTAAAAACATTCATGATTCTATAGTGGAGATCACTGCATGGGCTCAGAAACACTTCTGAAAACCGCTGTCTGTGAAAACAGTTCATCGCTGCATCCACAAATGCCAGTTAAAACTCAAACACAAAGAAGAAACTGTATATAAACAGGATCCAGGAATGCTGCCACCTTCTCTGGACCGGAGCTCATTTAAAATGGACTGAGGGGAAGTGGAAAAGTGTCCTGTGGTCTGACGAATCAACATTTTAAATTCTTTTTGGAAATCAACATATGCTGCCATCCGGACGACGTCTTTTTCAGGGAAGGCCTTGATTATTTCAGCAGGACAATGTCAAACCACATTCTGCATGTATTACAACAGCATTGCTCCATATTAAGAGAGGTTGAGCGCTAAACTGACCTGCCTGCCATCCAGACCTGTCACCCATTGAAAACATCTGGCGCATTATGAAATGAAAAATACAACAAATGAGCCCCTGAACTGACGAGCAGCTGAAATCCTATATCAAACAAAAATGAGAAAACATTTCACATCAATTGGTCTCCTCAGTTCTCAAACGCTTACAGAGTGCTGTTAAAAGAAGACTTTTCTGAAATGTGTTGTTGGCATCAAATTCAAAATGGACATATATTTTTCAAAAAAAAAAAATTCTCAGTTTGACATGTTGTCTTTGTACTATTTTCAATGAAATATAGGGTTTAAATGATGTGCACATCATTGCATTTTGTTTTTATATACATTTTTCACAGCGTCCCAACTTTTTTGTAAATGGGGCTGTAAGAAAAACTCTTTTCTTGTCTTTTCTTATGTTAGGAACACCAAACTGCCCTTTGCAAAGACAAGAGAGATCAATGTATAAAAATGCACATTAAACATACAGACACGTTCAGTAAAACTCATACACGTGCATTTAAACACACATGGACACATTCAAACAAAGACAAGAGCGACACACACCCAGCAGAACGGTCCTGGACTTCCTGCCAGCTGTGACAAACTGCCTCCAAAACCCACAATCAACCAGATGTACGAAACGTCTGTTTAAACGCTGCATAACTGACATCCTTTCAGTCCGAAAATAGAGTTTCAGGGGAAAGTTAAGACACAAGGGAATTCCCCGTATGCACTTTTATAAAGATAAGGATCCGTTATCTTTGATCATTATCGTTCTTTCTATTGTCTGTGTGTATAATGGCGTGTCATGCTAAGGGTGGGGTGATGAGATAAAAACATCACGTCACGACATGAAAAAGTTGGAACGAACAAAATCCACCAAAAGTAAACTATTTAAGAAGAAACAGGAGGAAAGAAATCAAACAACTGGTGAAAATATACATATACAATAAGATGATGTCATAACGGGTTACCATCCTATCAGCTACCTGTTACTATGCAGTTTACAGTTACTATAAACTGGTTGTTGTTCATAGGTTCTCTAAAACTGCACTAAATCTGTCTTGTTATAATACATGCAGTTGATTTGTTCTACTATTAAAGAGCGCTCTAGAATAAAGTAGTACTCAAGACTACTGTACATCTAGAACATTCTGAAATGAAGCAATGTTCTAGAATGAAGCACCGCCCAAAAAACTCTACAAACTCTACAAAGCTCTAGAACAAAGCAGTGCTACAGAATATTCTACATTTAGGACGTTCTAGAATGAAGCAGTGTCCTTAAACGTTCAACATCTACAATGCTCTAGAACAGAGCAGTGCTACAGAATATTCTACATTTAGGACGTTCTAGAATGAAGCAGTGTTCTGAAATTTTCTACATCTAGAAAGTTCTACAGGCTACAGCAAAGGCAGTGTTTGAGAAATAAAAACACTGTAGAATTGTTCTAGACGTACTGACAACAGTCATGACGCTCAGAAAAGTGTACTGTAACTCTGATGGTGCATATTTTAATTCATTTTTATTTTAATTCATGCCTTCTTTCATTTGGAGAGAGAACAGCTGTCACTAAAAGAATCAACCCTAAGGTGGTTACCTTCGCAGCGACCTCTGCACTGATCTCCTCCTGTGTCTCGGCCAACCGTTTCTTGGCCATTTCGGTCCTTCGGTCACAGTCTGCGATAAACGACTGCAAGTGCTCTGCAGCCTGGAGGAACAGAAGCAATCAACACACTTCATAAAAAGATCATTACATCTCATTACATCTGCTTCAGAGATCGTCCCTAAATGAACGCTGACATCTCTCAAAAATGCGAATATGAAATATTTTAGCTAAAATTAGACAAATGTGAATAACACACAGCTTAGACATTTTCAGAAAGTACAGGGACGTGTTTTAGGATGGTATTCAATAAGGACATTGAAAGAATGCAGAGAATTTGCACTTAAATTAGAGGTGGGTAAAAACATAATACTTCACGAAACTTTCTTGATACACAAAGTCACAATATTTATTTTTTCACATCTGATCAGTTGGAAAAAAGAACCACTGTAGCCGCAATTAACAAAGACAAAACTTTTCCTTAATTTTCTTCAGTTTTGTGCTCAATTTTTATTCATATATATATATATATATATATATATATATATATATATATATATATATATATATATACACACACACACACACACACACACACACACACACACACACACACACACATATATATATATATATACATTTTGAATTCACTGTTTTTATATATTATATATATATATATTTACTTTATTTTACTATATCTGCCTTTGGTAAGCTCAGCAACAAAAACTGATGTATTGAATGCAGTGTGAACTGTGGTCCTGTCATGTTGATTCAACAGGACTTTACAACTTCATACTCACGTCAAGTTCAAAGAAGTATTCCTGATGTTTGGAGGCGATCTCGTAGTCTGCCCTCAGAGCGAGATCGTGAACCTTCAAACACTCCCCCAGGTCCATACGCTGAAAAGCACCCACAAACACACTGATTCAGAGAGTGCAGAGGAAGAAAGAGAGGAAAGGAAAAGAAAAAAACAAAACAAAACAAAACAAAAAAAAAAGTGTAGTCTCACACATCATGAATGTGTGAGAATATATATGTTATATATTTCTTTATATATTTCACACACACTCAAAGCTAGGGGCAATTTAGCATCTCCAACTGGCCAGACTGCATGTCTTTGGACTGTGTGAGGAAATCCAGGCAGACACAGGGAGAACATGCAAACTCCACACAGAAAGGACCCTGGTCGAGAACTTAACCCAGGCCATTGCTGTGAGGTGACAGTGCTACCCACTGCGCCACCGTGCTGCCCCTCCATGGCTGACAGTGATACCAAAATCTGAATGTTTGCACCCGAATTGTTGTTACTTACTTTGGAAGATATTCATTTGTTTAAAATGCTGCTCTGTCAGTTTTGGGGATTTGGAGCCCCTTCTGGTGTAACTGCACGCAACATTCGTAAGAACATTTTATAACGTGTGTGCTTCAGATCCCCTTCTCTAGCAGATGAATCTGACGGGTGTGAGTGCGTTGACATATAATTCAAATAGAACTCAGTTGACTACTGAGTAAAGTCAATCAACACTGACTTGACTTCCAGAGTAGTCTCAGGAACCTCAGAGAGTGGAAGGAAAAGAGAGAGAAAGTGAGCGAGAGAGACTGGGCTTCCTTACTCACCGTTCCTGACAGTATGTCATGAGGGCAGGACTCCAGTAGATGACTTTTACACACTCTTTCATCTGTGAATTTGATCCTCTGGCGCATGGTGTCTCCTGTATCGACACACAGCGAGAAAAAAAACCCCATTAGGTTTTCCGAGCTGAGGCTCGGCTCTACGCAGAGCTGGTTATGTCAGAATCAGAACGAGCATCACTTTATGTGCAGCTTGTATTACAAAACATTAAAAAGCTGGGGCCCGATTCACGAAAGTGCCTGAAGAAAGAAAACCTTATAAAATGCGTGTTTTTTCTTCATTCTTAAGAAAAAAGCTACGAAAAAATGCCATTCTTATATTTACGGCATTTGGCAGACGCTCTTATCCAGAGTTGCTTACAACTCGATAATTTTACACAGGTAGGTGAAGGTAGGGTTGGGAGTCTTGCCCAAGGACTCTTAATGGTATAGTGTACGGTGCTTACCTGGCGGGGGGTGGGACCCCAGTCTACAGCGTAGAAGGCTGAGGTGTTACCCACTACACTATACCAACCATTTTCAATCTATTCTTCAAATAACTTACTAAGAATTCTCATTTTCTTTTCTTAACTATTTTCTTAAGAACAGTTGTAAGAACAGTTGGTATTCTTGACAATATTATGTTCTTAGCCTAACGACAGCCTCACACTCATCTTAGGCTGTAAGAGCTGACAAGGTGAGCATCTAAATTTATCAGTTTATTAGCTCCTGACCATCTCGTCTCTCGCTTTCTGCTGTCACCCCACAATTATTGTATTTTCCAATGAGGATTTTTTCCTGTTGGCTGTTTCTTCCACCATTATCCCAGCTCTTGTTTGCTAAAACTGTATAAAAGTTTTTTTGTCTTTTCTTCATTTTGCTTATCTGATTGGATTAAACACAACAGTTAATACAAATTAAAAACGTACCTTGTGTCGTTTATGGTATGTGGTAAAATGCAATGTAGCCTACATAAGAAAACAATGAAGATTTTGTTAAGAAAATCTTAAGAAAATTATTAAGGTTATCTTAAGAGAATTTTTGAGAACTTCTTAAGTTTTTTTCGAGAATTGCATTTAAGAACATTGATTTGAACTTCTTAGTGCTTGTCTTAAGAACCTTCACAAGTTTTCTTCTCAAGAAAGTTTTCGTGAATCCGGCCCAATGTCAGCACATCACTGAATGTCCGATGGCAGCACATGACTACATAAAACGATCCAGCCATAACTGAGAATGTAACAATTACATTACAGTATGGAGAATAAGAAACTCGGGAAACAGTGAGCAGAGATGCTGCATCACTGATAGACCCTCACTATCTACTGAGGGTCTAAGCAGAAATCATGATTGGACTCAGTATAGAGTGTGAACAGAGTTCAGTTGTGCTTCTATGACATGTTAGAGTTGACATCAGTTTTGGTGGGTTTAGTGGAGACAAGCTGTAAAAGATATTATATGAGACAGGCAGTCAGTGTTTTGTGCATAGCTCAGCTGTATTAATAACTATTTTATAACATCACAATTTGCACAAGTTGTCTCTTTTTCGGAGCTGAACCCAAACTGTACGCTCTGTAATGAGCACTGCTGAACATAAGATACTTAAGGAGAGTTCTGATATTTAAAGATGCCTCCAGAATTTAATGGTTAAGATGTAAACAATCTTCTCTCAGTTGTCCAGAACTGTTTCAGAGTCCTTACCAGAAAGTCATGACAAGAAATGGTTAAGAAGACACGTCTGATGCCAAAGACATCGAAAAGCAAAACTTTTGGGTGAGGTTTTGGTCCGAAACTTTAAAAAATGGCTATTTTAGTGTTGTAGTCATGGTGACCTCTGGTTCCTATCAGCACCACTGTAAAGACATCTGAGTCTGTAAGTTTCACACTTCAAAAAGTAGAAAAATACCCCAAATATTGACCTCAGAACTGAAAATCGTACTGAACCTGAAAGTACTTATTCTTACGTTTCTGGAGTACGTACTCTTAAAAGATGGTTCTTCAAGGGTTCTTAAGTAAAGGGAACGGTTCTATTTAAAACCACGAGTTCCACATAGAAATATGTAATGCTTAAATGGGTCTTTGCATGGTAAAATCCCTCTTAGATTGAGAGAAAACGTGCTATATAAGGCTCTACATAGAACTTTTTCTGTAAGCACCAAAAAGGGTTCTTCTACTGTTACAAGCTTGACATCGTACCCAGAAGCAGAACCCTCTCTGGTGCTACACAGAACCATACATAACACATTCACCGTCAGTCTGAAGAAGCATTTCACACTGCTTAAAACCATTTAAGCATACAATGGTTCTATATATGACTCCTGGTCCTAAACAGAACCATAGTCTTTACTAAAGAACCCTTAGAGAACCATCCTTTTTAAGAGTGTGACTATAATATTACTCCCGGCTTTTACAACAGGTAGGTTAGCAGCTGCTGCTGCTGCAGTGGGATGCTTAGCTAACTAAGTCACTCAGCCGGGGAAGCTAAGCTAAACCAGGCAGCCCTCATCAAGCATGGTTTAGCATGACAGCTATGCTAAGCTAAGCTGAGCCGAGCTACCTTTTTCCTACTTTTGGTTTCCTCGTTACAGAGAAACAAAACCCCGACTTAAACCGGGTAAAGTGACTCACCGTCCCGGCCGGTGCCCATCAGCTGGTCCAGCATGGCTCGCATTTGCGCCTGGGCCGACATCTTCTCCTTTATTGGGGTTTAATTTGGTTGTTTATCTCCTCGACACTCCGGACACATGCAGTGTCTTTATACCAGCAGGCCTCCGACCGGACTGGGGAGTTAGCCAACTTTCCTAACAACTACCTGGAAACGGCTCTCCAGGGGTCGAGCGGCTTCTGCTACAAACAACGTCCTGTTTAGCTTTAAACCCCACAAAAATGACATTCAGAGTCGCTTCTCGTCTTTTTCTTAGCTCTCTATCGTCCCTTTCACCCCTTCTCTCTCTCTCTCTCTCTCTGCTTGCTAGCAGCAGCTATGCGAAGCTAAGCTAAGCTAAGCTAAAGCTAAGCTAACGCTAACCGGAGATCTAATGTCTGAAAGCCGCGGAGGGCTCGCTTCCTCCCGCTCCTGATTCCCGTCGAGGCTTTAATCCCTCCTCAAACCGAATCCTCCGTTCATTAGTCCATGTTTTGAGACAGTGTTTTGGTCGCTTTTGTAATTTTTCAGGTGTTTCTTTTTTTTGTTTATCGTCTCTTTTCCGCGCTCGGCTCCAGCAGGAAGAGCAGCGGAACCGAGAGAGAGACCTGATTGGTGGAACGCAGAGTGACGTCACCGACGCGGTACTTTCCGCCAGTCACTTCTGGAATTAAAAAAGAAGTCGTTTTATTTATTAATTAATATTACAGGTTTATTTTCATACCTTATGTGCAACATTATTGCGCACATATACATGCATACATACATAGATACAGATATATAATATATATATATATATATATATATATATAGATAGATAGATAGATATACACACACATACCATAGCACTAAGGTGGTGGACAAAATAATGGAAACACCACGTATCCTCATTGGCCATTTTATCAGATACATCTAATACAGATGAACTTTGTCGATTTACAGTTACTCACGGTGGCCCATCTGCTGATGCATAGTCCCCCCCCCCACCCCCCGTAACCTGTTCATCCCTGGAAAGAGGCCACCATAGGACCACCCATGATCAGATATTATTTGAGAGGTGGGCCTTTCTCATTCTCTTGCGCATCAGCTGATGGGCTACAGTCTAAGTAAATTTATATACATTCTTAAACATATATAAAATAAAAATACATTTATATTATATAATGTAATACTATTATATATATATATTCATTTTCCAGGATCAGGAAAAAAGAAACCATATTTTACAGAAAATAGTTTATATAAATAGTAAAGAAAATAGTATTTAGTGAGTCCACACTTTACCTTACAGCTTCCATTCTTTTCAGTAGACTCACAGTTTTTCAAAGAAATTTGCAGTGATATTTTTCACATCTACAAAATTCAGTCTAAGGGGCTGGATTGCTGTGTTACATGCTATTATATTCAGTATTGTGTGTGTTGTACCATGCATATGCTGTCTTAGTGGTTGGTTTTGCGTTTTCTGCTTCTCACAATGCAAATAATCCCAAACACATTCAGTGATGTTGAGGTCTGGACTCGGGGGTGGTCAGTCCACTGTTCAGCTTCTTTGTTTGATGTGTCTCCTTTTCTCAGTAAGAGCTTCTTAACAGCTACACATCCTTTCAGACTCATAGTGCTGAGTGTCTCACAGTGGAAGGATGGACAGAAACTCCTGTGGATGTTTTCAGATCTGAATCCAGAGTGGAGCTTGATTTTCTCCTCTCTCTCAGAGATGAAAGCTTTAAGTGCTGTTTATCTGATGGGGTCCTTATGCAAGTGGGTTATTTTATACCTAATCCCCTTACAAATATCTCCTGAAAAGGCTGTTTTATATATCTGATGGGTGGTCTCAGACTCTGACAGTGCCATGCATATACACCATCCGGCCACTTCATTAAGTGTACCCCCTTAATTCTATGCTCATTGTCCATTTTATCAGCTCCACTTACTATATAGGTGCACTTTGTAGTTCTACAGTTACAGACTGTAGTCCATCTGTTTCTCTGCATACTTTGTTAGCCCCCTTTTACCCTGTTCTTCAGTGGTCCCCCATGGACCCTCACAGAGCAGGTACTATTTGGGTGGTGGATCATTCTCAGCACTGCAGTAACACTGACGTGGTGGTGGTGTGTTAGTGTGTGATGCGCTGGTACGAGTGGATCAGACACAGCAGTGCAGAGAAACAGATGGACTACAGTCTGTAACCGCAGAACGACAAAGTGCTCCTATATGGTAAGTGGAGCTGTATAGAAACAAGGAGGTGTACCTGATGAAGTGGCTGGTCGGAATCTGTTTAAATGTATATACAAATTCAATTGTGCATTGTGCATATCTATCTATCTATCTATCTATCTATCTATATATATATATATATATATATATATATATATATATATATATATATATATATACATATACACACACACACACATATATATATATATATATATATATATATATATATACACACATATATAAAAAAACAAAAAGACTTGTAATATTTTATACAATGTTTTATAGTTGTATGCAAAAGTTTTAACACCCTGTTTTGTTGATTTATTTGTTTCCAGTATATTAAATTCAGCAAATAAACAGTAATTATGCACTAAAATGTGAGGAAATGAGTTCTCTGTTCTCTTAGTTTCACTTAAAATGAACAAAATCTACAGTGGCCGGGGCGCCCAAACTTTTGCATGCCAGTTCTGAGATGTTGTCATAATCATCATCAATAAAACACACAAAAAATAACGAGTCCAGAACTGCTTCGCTTCCCTCTTCTTTATTGTATTGACGTGAAAGAGACGTTTCTTAGTTCATGTATGCTGTATACAGTATTATATTCATATACATATGTATTAAAAAATCCAGTCTTTTTTTCTCTCCAGCTATTTCCACGTTATACAAAACAGAATCGAGCTGTGATTATCAGTCATAATAAACGAGAATGAACACGTACACATGGGGAGGTCTTCTCAAACTGACGCCGCCATCCACCAAGCACCCTTCCCGTTGGTCGAAGCATCAACGAGAGGCGCTCTCATTGGTTCAAAGCACTAAGCACTGTTTTTTGGCACCAGAGGTTGAGCTCATTCTACCTCACTGCAAATGGAGGTAGCAGCAGTAGACCTCAGAGGAAGTCATGCCCATATAAGGAAACTCTGGGTCCAGGCTGGTTTCCTCTATGGGGAAAATAAATTCAGTTTTCAGAAAATTGCTGTTATTGTGCTCTGTGGTAAATAAAAATGTTTCAATACTTGTTCAAGATTCAAGAGGAGCTGAAGTACAAAAACTTCTATAGACATGCTACAAGCTAAGCTAACACTCCTGCGCTTCAAAGTAAAGCCAGAGAACTTGTAGAGAGGAGAATTCCCACTCTGCAATGTCTTCCGGTTTTCTCAAACGCTAGAGGGCGCTCCCGAGTGAGTCCAAAATGAATGGGTTGATATGGAGCATTTGAGCAAAATCATAGTTTATAAACGCTTAAACATTAATATAAAGAATCCGATCACTGCCTGAACACTGAACAGCATAAAACATTTTAACACCGCTGTTATGTTTTTAAGAGCTTTTAAACTCGAGTTATAGGAGTTTAAAACGGCGCCTCATGTACAATCATGACGTCAGTGAGCGCCAACAGCCAATAAGCTGCTCCGCTCGCCAACCAATCAGCACTCTCTAGCAGTAATGCCAGCGTTCTGCTGCCCAAAACCCGTTTTCTGTAGAAAAAAGGAAACATACAGGTGAGATTTCTTTGTTTTTTTAGTGAAATACATCCTTCTACTTTCTAAAACTAAAGGAAAGTTCTGGCTCAGTGATTACAAACTATTTTAACTTTTTGTTTTTAGCCGTTGAGCTCCATTTACTCCCATTCATTGAGGACTCACTCGGGCGCCCTCTGCTGTTTAGCAGTCCTGTTTTTGATATAACGGGGGAAATAGTAAGTGGCCAGGCTCCTCATAAACCGGCTCTGGTAAAGCTACTGCTGAACTTTTTAATAATAAAGTCTGCCTGGCGAAAAAGCCTTGAACGGTAATGAAAACAGGGAGGTGAAAGAAGAATTTGCTTCCGCTAGTGGTCAGTTTCACTTTGTGCGAGTTCTTCTAGGTCAATTCCCACCACGTTCATTCATAAACCTTCGTTTCATGAATAGAAACAAGAGGACGAGCTGTGGAATCTTCTTTCTGAATAAATCTAAACTGCTGCTCAGTCAACATACTGTGTTCACAGCTGAGACAAACAGTGCTTAGCTAGCTAATGTTAGAAGTTCACTATATGTTTCTTCCAAAGTCACATCACATCAGGACCTCGTCTACACACATACTCGCCTCAGTGTTACTCCATCCAAAATAGCGAGGCTAACAGTCTGGTGTGACTGAGGCTTAAAACTGCCTCTTAACCTCTTATTCTCCAGGGTATATTTTTGTTTGTCCATCTGAATTTACAAGACCAAATCGTAAGGCAAATTATTCAGTAACTGTGTGAAATAAATGTAAATTTTTCTTTTATTTATTTATTTTCAAAGTTCCCCTCAAATTAACAGAACCTGTTTTATGATCACACATATTGCTATATGCTTACAATTTACTGCTGAAAGCCAAAAATCTCAGACGCTCTTTGTATTATTTTATAAAAGTAATTTTTACAGAGCAGATCACTGAAGAGACGCCATCTGTTTATAGTTTATAGCCCAGATTTGTGGAAAAATGGGGAAAAAAAATTTTGAGTTCAGCTTCTTTTATTATAAGGGTTTACAATTACATCACCCATCTATTTGACTGGAAAGAAGACAGTTACAGCTCTCATACGACCCCCACCTTCTGAATGTAGCTTATGAAATATGAAGGTTATGAAGAATATGACAAAGTGCGTTTTGGAACCACTGGTGGTGTCAAGGAGTTGAAGAGGTCTACCACATTTGACAATGCTGGGTGGTTAGCGTGGCTTATTTTGGCAAGGCTAACAGTCTTAGCCTTCAGTGTTTACACCAAACTACTTTTTCACCATTTTCTTTGCCATGATGGAGCAAAAAACGGGTGATTAATGGAGGTCCTGATGTGTGATTTCGGTGAAAAGCTAGCAAAGCTAGCATTAGCTAGTATGTGGGTGCCTAGCGACATCATGTTGACTGAGGAGCAGCTCCTCCACTTTATTTAATTTTCCTCTGAAAGACGACACCACAGCTCACCATTTGGGTTTCTATTGTTTTGCACTGCCAATATTCACAAATCTAGTTAAAGTTCATCTATAGAAACTCATCACAATGTGAAATTAACCAACACCGATTCATTTTCAGCTTACTTGTGTTCAGTCTGGCTGCGGCTTTACGACGTTAATTCAGCTCAATTTAGTAAGAGTTAGCATGTAGCAAAAGGCATATTCTGACTCCTTTTTGACTTCGTAAGTCAGAGCATTCACATTCATTAATCTATTTGGGTTTCTATTGTTTCACATTGACAATATTCACAAATTTAGTTAAAAATTCATCTATTGGAACTTGTAAAATTAACTGATACCAATTCATTTTTCGCATTCCCGTGTCCATTCCCTTTCAAGTTAACTGGCTTTTTTGCCAGGCACATTTTACTTGTGTTCAGTCTGACTGCAGCTTTAAGATGTTAAT